GTTTGATTGTCCGTTCATAAACCCTTATGAATAGTTGAATTTGAAAAAATGAATCCGAATGCACATCACTAGTATACGCCCCACTGCACAGCTGAATACAGGGCAGCCAATCAGAACAGTGGTCAGTCAGGCATCGCAACGAAAACAGCCTGTAAATTGAAAAGGATGCAGAGAGGTTTTAAAATGTTAATGTAAAAATGGATTACAACTGTTTTTGGTACATCAGTCCACACAAACTTCATAAATGTGCCTCAGGAGTACAAAATAAAATACAAGAGAAATGTGAAATGTGGCTCCTTTAAATCTACCAAAGTTCAGAAGTCCATTCCAGCAGAAGGAGGGATCGGTGCTGAAGACGGTAGTGAAGGCAGGGAAACTAAGCCAGGGAAAAAGATTTCTGAATTCTGGACCTAAACGTCTCTTGAGGGTATCAGTAACATCTGCTCTTCTCACTACCTGAGCAGTGACCATGGAAACGAGCACTTCAGGCTTATTTTCCCCCATTAACACACAGTAACTCACATATACACACACACTCACTGTGAGAAATGAACAGCGTCCCACATCTGGACTGATGGGTCTTAAGATCGCGCTGTGGTCGTGTCACTGTTTTGTTATCACTGTTGCTCTTTTTCTCTTTTTTTATTAAACTAAAACTCATGTAAATTTTCTGAATGCTATGAGCTGATTTCTTTTCATCTGTTTCACCCAGACATTTTTCTTTTATTCATTCTTTTCTTCATTCCTTTCATTTATTTCTTTTGATTTCTTTCTTAATTAATTCCTTTCTTTTTCTTTCTTCCTTCCATCACCCTTCCTTCCTTCCGTCCATCACACCGTCCATTTGTCCGTCCGTCCTTTCTTTCTTCCGTCTATTTGTCCGTCCTTTCTTCCTTCTTTCCGTCCGTCCATCCTTCCTTCCTTCCGTCCTTCCTTTCGTCCGTCCTTCCTTCCTTCCTTCCTTTTTTCCCTCCCTTCCTTCCTTCCTTCCTTCTGTCCATCCATCCATCTGTCCTTCCTTCCTTTCTTCCTTCCATCCGTCCGTCCTTCCTTGCTTCCGTCCTTCCGTCCATCATACCATCCATTTGTCCGTTGGTCCTTTCTTTCTTCCTTCTATTTGTCCGTCCTTTCTTCCTTCTTTCTGTCCGTCCATCCTTCCTTCCTTCCATCCTTCCTTCTGTCCATCCATCCATCTGTGCTTCCTTCCTTCCTTCCTTCCTTCTGTCTGTCCATCCTTCCTTCCTTCCTTCCTTCCTTTTTTTTCCTCCCTTCATTCCATCCTTCCTTCTGTCCATCCATCCGTCTGTCCTTCCTTCCTTCCTTTCCTTCTTCCATCCGTCCTTCCTTCCTTGCTTCCCTTCTTCTGTCCGCCCTTCCATCTGTCCTTCCTTCCTTGTTAGAGTGTGGATGCTTCCTACAATGTGATTTCATCTAAAGACTAGAATTCATAATAAGACATCTTATGCAAAAGTTTCGAACACCCCTGGTCAAATTATGTTGTGTTGATCTTTCTAAGTGAAAATAAGTTTATTTATTATATCAATGTTTGTTACATCCTCTACAGAACAAATGTAAATACAGCCTTTTTTTCTGAAAACTGTAGTTTGGTTTATTTGTATTTATTTGCTGAGTTTAACATTAGAATTAGAAATAAAACGTAAAATACAAAATGTGCCATAACCTTTGCCCAGGCCACATTTCGCATTTTATTTTTTCTTCAATATGTTCCCTTCAGTAAATAAACTGTAATTGTGCATGAAAATGTGCAAAAGTGTGTTCTCTGTAGAGATTGTGTTCACTTATTTTCAGAAAATCAACAAAACGTAAATTTTGGGGTGTTCAAACTTTTGCAAATGACTGTAAAGACAGCATTTAATAAAAGGACATAGACAAGAGTTTACATGACCTGTCTTTAATAAACAAGTTTAAAAAGGTTTAAAAAGTATAGAAACCCTGATATTTAGCAGCCATTGGACTTTACTGACATTAACTTCAACCAAATGTACAGCAGTTCGGAGGAATCATGGCTTATTCCTCTACACAGAACTGCCACAGATCATTCATACCTTTAGAATGTCTTGTCTGAATGACCTCTTTCAGATCACTCAACAGCACTGCAGTGGGATTAATGTCCACACTCTGACTCAAACTGAATTTTCCTCTGTTCGAGTCACTCAGTACAGAGAATTTGCTTCTTTGTCTTGAATCATTATAAAGTTGAAACCTCTTTTAAAGTTTTATGGGCTTCTTTCTTTCTTTCCTTCCTTCCATCCTTTCTTAAAGAGAAACTCCACTGATTTTTTCTAAATTTCCATAATTAAATGGTCATTTTAGAGAAACTTGCCAAGTCACAGTGGTTCACCGTGCTAGTGATGGGAACCAGACGTGTCTGTCTCTACTCTAAAAAGTGATGTGTTAAATAACAACACACCTATGTTACCCATGTGAACACATTTTACATGTCACTGTTTTCTGTTGTAACACATTCCAGATAGAACGTTATGTTTTCCATAACTGGGCACAGAACTATTTTAGCACATTTTGTGGACCCTATCATGACCCCTGGTTCCTATCACCACCACTGTAAAGAAATCTGAGTCAGCAAGTTTTTCTACAATGAACCATTTCACCACTCTGAATGACTTTGTTTACATCTCACTGATTGAATTGTTCAGACATTTTGAAAGTTTGGTGGAATTCCCCTTTAAAAGTGGAAGTGAATGTCAAAGTATCAACATTTAAACATTGAACCCTTGTGTGGTGTTGATGTGTTTGTTACTCAGTGGTCTGGTGGACCGACCGCATTATTGTTTTTTAAATCAATACAGCCATAACAGTTTATGTAAAAATACCAGATGTTTAAAATATCACAAGTGTCCAGCGTAGGGTTCTCCTTTAGCAGCTGTAGCCAGTCAGCAGCCTGTCCATGTTGTCCACCCTCACACACACACATATACAAACACACACACTAACAGACACACACACTAACAGACACACACACTAACAGCAGGCCATATAGGAGAAGAACAGAGTGAAGGACACAGCACCTCCACACTTTTATCCCCCGCGGATTCACCCAACACCACATGTGTAATATAAATGTGTGGGGGGTGAACAGAGTGAAGACACTGAAAATGGGTTATTTTATATGTTCTTCGCAGAAAATGAGCAAAGGCCAAGAATCTGAGGTTGAAATAATAATAAATCACATCATTTTTTATTTTGGTAAACATGGAAAATGGGTCCCACAGACCTGAACACCACACAAGGGTTAAGGATCAGGACATGCTTTCGTTTTTTGGTGTTGTGTGTAACGGTGACTAATGGGCAATACTAGTCCTTGCACAAAGATGAATTCGCATAGTTGTGGCCAGTTTGGTTTTACGCTGAAATGAATTTGGTCGGATGTTTTAGTAAACCAGATTATAAAGCATGGGAACTCGACTGATTGGAAGAGAGAAAAATCACATTGCCTTTGGCTTTTTGTTTAGTACTTTGAAGGTCTAAATGAAAATGTAAGGAGTACTCTTGGACATGTAACCAGGCCCAAGCAGAAGTATTCAGATTCAATAATACCTGAGTCGAGTACAAATCTTCCAAAATAATACTTAATGAGATACAGCCACTTAAGGATTTTCCACTCCTGCTTCTCAGGCACTGTGTCTAATGGTAGGAGAAGTGAGCCAACTGGAAGGTTGTGGGTTCAAATCCCATGACTGACTAGGTATACCTGGTTGTGCCCTTGGGCAAGGCACTTAGCCCCCCAACCCAGGCGGCCCTGCTCTGTGGGCGACGCTGTGCTGCTCCCAGATTGGACGTAGTTAGGCAGCAAAATGACAAATTTCCCTTGTAGAACCAATAAAGTACATAACATAAATCAAGGCTGTAGTTTTGATTCCAGAAGTTGAAATGTAATCATGGAAATGAATGTAGTCTGATTCATGTGTCAGTGGATTACACACAGCAGTGTATTTCTACTTCAGATTAGAGCCAACTGATGTCTTAGGCTGTTAATATTGGCCAATATTGACGACCTGCAGTTTTATCAGTATCAGAGAAAAAAAATACAGATAATGTGTTGATAATTACCAAGTTTTGTTGGTTTTGATATGAGCGGGACTTGAACTTGAAGGTAGAATGAAACCTCACAGTTGTAAACTCAATCTGAGTCGCTCCCTGTTTAACTGTATGGCAGTACTGATGTTCTTTGTATTAGCTGTCAGAACAAAACAAATGAACATAATTTCAAAATATTGGCTGCCCTTTACACCGTGTGATGAATAAACTGTTCGAAATTGTCTCAAATTACATCAATGCTTGTTGAAAGTTAAGAATATTTTTCCTTTATCTTTAAAGTTACTGTTTGGGAAATAGGAGGTTGTGATCCAACAGTACCACTATATAACATCTGACCCTAACATATAAAAAACCCTTGTTTTATCAAAAGAACTAATGAAAAATGAGAAATATAAGGGTTATATAACGCAAAACAAAACAGTAAAGAATTCTGGGTAGCTCCACCTCATTGTTATTATAATTATCTTATTTAAGATGATTGAGAACTGACAATCATATTAGCATTTAAAGCAAGTATAAAGTATTTGCATAAAAAAATTAAATATAAATATAAAACTACACTGGCCAAGATTATCACCTATCAAAATTTTTATCCCCTAAAAATCTGTCGAAACGTGTCATATCAGGCTCTATTTCAGATTGCTTTTTATCAGTCAACCTGTTCAATAATAGCTTCTGTCATCTGGATTATGACCACTGGGCAGCCTATTTAAAAATTTCCCCGCAACCTTTGGGACCTTTTCGGGGGTGCGGGCAGAAAATATTTTGACAAAAGAAATGAGGGGGACATGTTCTCCCACCCCCAGTGGAAACTAAGCCTATGATTGAAATGAAACTCCGTCTCGACAAAAAGCTGATATCACTGCTCTGGTTATGTCGTTCGATGGCTGTGTGGATCAATAATGGTTTATCTCTTTGTTCAGGCGGAGCTGGACCTGGAGAAGGGGCTGGAGATGAGGAAGTGGGTTTTATCTGGAATCCTGGCCAGCGAGGAGACTTATCTCAGCCACCTGGAGGCTCTGTTACTGGTGAGAGCTTTTTAGATGTACCGTGTCCAGTTGTGCGAAATTGACTGTGAACCTGCTGAACCTGTCTGGATTTCTGCGTGAATGCGTCTTGCGTTGTGATTTCATCTAAAAACCAGACTCCATAATCAAACATAAAGACAGTATTTAAAGGGATATTCCATCCCAATTTTTCTTTTTAATTTCTGCATAATTAAACAGTTAAGATATGTATAAAGTCATTCAGAGTGGTTTGGTTTGAAGTGCTCTGTTCTAGATAAACTTACTGAGTCAGAATTGTTCCAGTTGAACCAGATGTCTCTTAAAGCTAAAGCCTAGAGCTAAAGTTTTGGCCTTAAACATATTTTTTTAATCTGTTCATGGTGAAAAGGTGCCTGCAGGGTTGTAAGGCAAAATAGTCCCCAAAGAAAATGTATTTTTTCAGATTTACCTATATTTTATCATCATCAGCATTACATATAAAACCTCAGATGGAGCATGTAGGTACGCTGTACATGTAGGTTGTTTTATATAGCTGATAAAGAGGCTATTTTCCATTGTAAACATTGCAACATTTGGTTCCTGTCAACACCGCTGTAAAGAAATCTGAGTTTCTCTACGATGAACCATTTCACACCAAACCACTCTGAATGACTTTGCTCACATCTCAACGTTTGAATAATGCAGATTATGCAAATTTTGAAAAATTGGAGGAATTCCCCTTTCACAACAGAACATCGACAACATTCTATAATCTTTATTGAACTTTATTGATCTTTAAGTTTAAAAAGGTTATGAAGCATGTGAACCCTTATATTTAGCAACTGTTGGATTCTACTTTTTTGGCAATGACCTCAACCAAATGTTGAGCTTGTAACAATAGAAGAACCCCTTTTGGTTTTATATAGAACCCTTTTCTTAAATGTTCTATACAGAACCGTATACAGCATATTCTCCATCAATCTGAAGAACCATTTCACCATGCAAATAAGCTTTTAAGCATGAAATGATTCTATATAGAACTCTTGGTTACAAATAGAACCAATGCTGTTACTTAGGAACCGTTGAAGAACCTTTTTTTTTAAATGTGTACTTTTAGAATATCCTGCTTAAATGACCTTCTTCTGGGTCAGGACTCTCTGACTTAGTTGACAGACGCCGCCACGTTCTCCTGTTGTATTCCTTGATACAGTTTGGAATTTATTAGTCCAGCAGTGACTCCAGGCCCTGAGGCAATAAAGCAGCCCCACTCCATTATACTCCCTCCACCATGCTTCACAGTTTGGATGAGGTGTTGGTGTGCAGTGCTTTGTTCTCTCAGACGTGGTGTGTACATTTACCAGAAAACCCAGCTTTCGTCTTATGTGTTGTCTTTTTTTCTTGTTATGACTCAGAAGATGATCACATTTTATGAGTCATTCATGCAGAAATCCATATAATTCGCAAGAGCTCCAATATTATGCTATTCCTTTTTTATTATGATGTAATATTTGCTGTATTTTTTTCATTGATATACATTTTCATAGTAGATTCTGGCACTTGGTCCTGTGGTCAGAAACTGACCGCTGATGAGGACAAGAGGGTGGCAAAACTATTAACAAATCAAACACATTGAATAACTAAGCTGCAAAAACGTTTGCTGTTTTTGTGATGTCACAAAAACCAACACATCCACATATATCCACCTATTCAGCCTACAGCAATTTAGCACTGGCCATTCATGCTGAAGTTATAAGTAGTGTTTCAGCCTGGACTTCTTTTTGAATGGGATGCAAGGGCAGATACACGGCAGCCAAGCTGATCTGAGCTCATTTATATATATATATATATATATATATATATATATATATATATATATACACATATATCTCAGTCCTAAAGGCACAGTAATAAAAACAGCCTGTTTACTTCAAAGGGATAAAGGGAGGTTGGAATATGTTTATGTAAAAATATTTAGGACTGCATTTGGCGCATAAAAGCATTGCTAACGTTATAAGTGGCCCTCAGGAACAAAATAAAATGCATGGAAAAATGTAGAATATGCAACCTTTAAAAATGATGCAGCGTCAGTGTGGATTGAGAACAGGGGAGGAGTCTGTTGTGACTAAAGATGCTAAAGGGAGAGCAGTTACTGACTCATGTCACTGCACTGAAAATCCCAGAGAAACAGGACCCATCTGTCTTTGGCAGCCAGCAGTGCAGTCGTGTGCATGATGATGCATGCTGAGTGGGGCACTGAGGTGACGTAACTCTCCTGTTTCAGAGTTCAGGCTGCATCAAGCCATTCCTGTGCTGTCATCGTGTGTCTGGTCCATGAAAACACTCATCATACATGATTTCATCCCAAAAGATCTTTTACATGGCATTCCTACCTCTGTAGAGTGTTATCAGATCTATCAAATGCTTCAGTTCTGTGAAATTTCCCTTGAACTTCCCTTGAAGTTGAATGACATGGTAGAGATAATGGGGTTTCCCGAAAGAATTTTAAGGGTTCATATCATAAAACCTAATTTTTCTCTCTTTTTGAAATAAAGGAGATTGAAGTAATATGTAAACACTGTTAATACTTTGGAATGTGCCATTCGCTACTCAGTCCATTCAGTCCATATGTAGAAATATGTAGAGGGGGGGGAAATATTCAGTCCATATGTAGAAATATGTAGAGAGCTAATCCCAAAAACAAAACCTGCACCTACAACAACAAACCTGATTCTTTCTCTCTTCCAGCCTATGAAACCGCTGAAAGCTGCAGCCACCACGTCGCAACCGGTCCTGACCGTCCAGCAGATCGAGACCATCTTCTTCAAAGTGCCTGAGCTCTACGAGATCCACAAAGAGTTCTACGACGGACTTCTGCCCAGAGTGCAGCAGTGGAGTCACCACCAGCGTGTGGGAGATCTCTTCCAAAAACAAGTGAGTCACTCTTTCCCCTATTTTGGAGCTTGACCTTGATTTAAAGCGACAGGATGGATAGACATCACTGTCACAGTAGTTTTATAGCTCTGTGTACCGTGCAATACATGTGGCAGTAGCCAAAAATCCCTGCTGGAATCCCTACTAGGCAAAAATAGATGTAGTCTGTTTCATACTGAGGGTTGGGGTTGTCCTCAGTTGTTACACTTTTAAAAACAAAGCCTTCTAAATATAAAATTTATTTGATTTATGATGTAAACAGGGTTAGAGTTTCAAAATGAAGTATTCACTTCCCAGTCCGTTCGCTCTATATGTGGAAACTAAGCAGCAAAAACAGCCTGTTTTTCAACTCGCTGTTCCTGTGATGTCACTAAGACCAACACATTTACATATCCACCAATTCAGCCTGCAGCAGGTAAGCTCCGCCCACTCACGTTGAAGTTCTAAGGAGTGTTGGGCTGCTTTCTGAATGAGGCACTATACAGACCAACCAGTCAGCAGAGAGGCCATTTACATATATCACTCTTAAAGGCACAGTAAGAAAGGAATAGATAGAAGAAGGAAAATTAATTATGACTGTTTTTGGTATGTAAACCTACTAAAACATCAGAAGTGGATCTCTGCAGAAAAATAAGAAAGGAAAATGAAGGAAATGGGTTCTTTAAATTGAACAAGAAGAGCATAAAAGGTTGTTCACACTCTCACTTCTCATTTACAAGAGTGGTTCTTTGAAGAAACATGTCTTGAAAGGTTATTTAGGGAAGCAAAGGTGCTTCTAGTGTTGCGTCGCACAAAAAAAAACCTTTTTTGGCTCCTGCGTTTTTCAGAGTGCACCCATTAAAACTTAAGTTGTGAGTTGTGTTTGATGGCATTTCACCAATGCAGAGAATTCTTGATGAACAACTTATTTATCCCCTTAAAGCAACACTGTACGTGCTGTGTCTGCACTAAATGCAGTGGACAGTGGGTCATACAGAACATCCTCACAATGCTGTCTTTCTCACTCGGGCAGCTTGGGCTAATGTAACACTGTGTGCTTTGTGTTCCAGAGCGAGGGCTATTAATAGTGTCATACAGTACAAGAACTGAGACTCTCACCCCATCTCTCTCTCTCTCTCTCTCCTCATCCCTTCCTCTCTCCCGCTCTCTCACTCTCTCTCCCCATCCCTTCCTCTCTCCCGCTCTCTCACTCTCTCTCCCCATCCCTCTCCTGCTGTGCAGCACTCATACACTCTATGTATTTGTCTCTCTATTTTCCCTTCAGCAATTTTCTTCTCTTTGCCTCACATTTAATAAACAATGGCAACTGTTATGCTTTTTCATATATTTTTTTATTCCCAAGAGCAGCATTGTTTTTCCAGTCACTCAGTCAGACCGGCCGTCTCTTTGACCGGAGGCTGCCTGGCCATGCTACTGTCCTGCTCTTCTGCTCTCAATGGGAACCCATTAACCAGGATTAGAAAGTGGAGAGGCCCAGAAAAAAAACTCCCTATGAGACCGATGCTTATGGCTGGCGAGAGAGAGAGAGAGAGAGGGGGGAGAGAGAGGGAGACATATTTAGTCTCTGATAGAGCCGTTCCCCTGCTGCTTCTCAAGTGTTCCAGTTCCCAGTGGCTCAGTAGTTTAGGAGGCAAACGCGAATCAAAAAAAGGTGGAAATGGGAGGCGGATGCGCTTTAATGACAGGTTTCGGGTGCGCGAGTGCCAGAGAAAGCTGTTTTGAAGTTTGTTTTCAAGCTGAGAGTGGGAATAAATATCTCCTAAATGTTTTACTCCAGCTCGTCACAGCTGTATGTTGATTTTCTGCAGGCAGCGACAGATCATGGTGAGCTTCAGCGTTCTGTCCTAGCAGTGCATCTCTTTGACCCATTTCGAATGTATGTGCACAGTAGACGCATTCGAGAGGAGGCCAGTGTCATTTCTGGCTGCGCTCACCATATGTTCCTGTCGTTGTGGAGCAGCACATGGAAGCAGAGTGAATGCACATGTGTCCTGTGTCAGCAGCAGACGCTCTTCTCCGTTAGGCTGTCTCAGCCAGCTGATACTTCGTTGCTGTTTTCAGAGCAAAAATGTCCTGACTTTGTAGGAAAACCACAGAAAACAGGGCTAACCTGTAGTGTCAGGGCTAAGAAGATGATTATGTCTTTGTAAAGTGCATTTTTGAAAAAGATATGGTTTATTTTTTAAAACTGGAGCAGCAAAATCATTTCTTCTCATCACTGGCTGTGTTTACATGCAAAAATGTCTGCCAGTCTGATTGAATACATTCCGATTATGGATTAAGACTGAGGTGTTTTTATACTCACTCTACTCAACAATCTGATGGAAAATCTCCGTTTACATGCTCACTACAAGGAATCAGATCCAAAATTACGTGCATGCATAGAGAACCGCTTAGTGTAGACGTTACCATGACAACTAGCATCACATGAGTCCAGTCAGAGTGAGATGAGCAGCAGTGAGCAGTGCTTGTGTTTTTAATTGCTTTAAAATGATGTCAGACTCAGGAAAACGTCCTTCACATGTCCTTATTAAAGAAGGTCGAGAGGAAGACGTCGTGTTCGGAGGCACATAAGCTGGACGTCCGTCCCACCGCCGTCTTTTAAAGATCAGAGCATAAACTTCGTCTCCTCTGCAGACCAGTTTCTGCTCCGCCATGCTGAACGGTATAAACTTTCGCTATGACGTGACACACATGATCAGAACGGACTTAAACTTCCGATAGGGAATATAATCAGATACAGGTGTTTACATATTATTCTTTGATTTAACTGATTATTTACAGCATTACCCACCTCATTCAATCAGATAGAAACTGTATTCGGAATGACCTCAATCGGACAAGCCTATTCAGACTGAAGTGTATACATGGACATATTCTATTTCGATCGAGCTATTAGTCGAATTATTAATGGATTATTAGGCTGCATGTAAACGTGGCTACTGAGGATAAGGTAAGTGTTAGATTTAGGCTTAGAAAAGTCTTAGAAAAGTCTTAATACATATATTTAATACAAATGAGACACATGGATGTAGATATAGATATATCACAAATGGAATCATCATCATCTTAATAATAATTAATATGACTTATTAATACATATAGGCACTTACGTATGCATAATACATGTGGCACATATTACATATAGGTACTTACATCTTTTTAATACATATAGGCCACTACTTTTATTACACTTAGGTACTTTATGTAATACATTTGGGACATATTAACTGTACTTACACCTTTATTATACACATAGGATGTTATTACATATAGGTTTTTACATATTATTACACACTGTTGTTGGCCACAGCCGTACATAAGCAGAGTTCTCTTTACTAACAGCTCATTCACTACTCTACTCACGTCTCTCCGCTCACTGCTCACTCACACTCAGCCTGGGATGTTTCGTAGCCCCGCCCTCTACAATAAGAGTCCCTAGCAAAATAAGCCCTCTCAATAAATGCTGAAGAACACATAACCGAAAACTAACATGTAAACATTTCTTGAACACACTACTGTACATATGGTACATGTTATTACTACAGTTGTTTAATTTATTTAATTCATATGGGTGTATAAAAACAAACGTGTTTAGGTCTCTTTGTTGACAGTGACTCCCTCTCACCTTTACCTCACTTCAGGCCCACGAAAGCCTAAATATTACCCTCAGCACACCTGATCCTGTTTCACACAGCGTTATACATTGGTTTACAGGCGTGTCCGGTGTATGAAATATTAGTGTGTATGTAGGTCCAGTGGATGCCATTACTGTTACTTTTTCATCCCCCTCATTCTCCTTCTGAACAAATGAAATCCTGCTTCTTGGGTTGGATCAGCTAGTCTGTAGCTTGAAATGTGTCTGTTTTGCACCGCTATGCAGTAGCAGAACTGATGGGCGCCTCATGTGTCGTCCACACCCTAATAAGATTGTCACAGAGGAAGTTCCTGCTGCAGATTGATTCTGGCCCGGGGCGGCCGTTCCTGCGCACCGAGGATGGGATTCCAGACGCTGGTGAAATTGCTTTAGCTCCTTGGCTCTCCAGCAGCGGGGGGGCGGAGCGGCTGGAGTCAGCTCCGAGCCGCTGATCAGGTTCCACTTTGGCCCGGCTGTGCGGGTCAGTGTGCAGTGATTGGTTCGGTTTAGGGAGAAGTGCCTGTGATTGAAGCTAATGCCTGAGGGAGATGCTGTTACGGTGAAGTAAAAGGCCAGGGCTGAAGCTCTGACATCATTTATTGATGTCTACTGTTTAGTGATGAGGTCACTGAGTGTTGCAGTGTGGTGGGTTACAGAGGATGGAGCTAAGGGCGTGGGTTGGTTTCAGAAGACAGTGTATGCATAGCTGGGGGGTGTGGAGCTGGAGCCCAGGACCCCACCAACTCACATGCAAAGAAAAATAACTGAAAGCTGTTTTATGCCTTTTTACAATTTATGGCAACCTTAGAAGTTGGATAGCTGATTTTAAAGGGATGTTTCGGCCAGAAATGAAACACTTTGCTTAATTTGTTTTAAACTTCTTACAGCAGTGCCATAATAGTTTCTAAAATGAAATTTGCTGGTTTAAAAACTTGGAAAGCCACCTTCGAATGATGTATCTTGAAGGTGGAAGTGAGTGCTTTGGTGTAGATGCTTGGGGGTGGGCTTTTTTTTGCACTAGCTGGCTAAATTATTCGTTTAACAAAAAGTTTGATGACCAATTAAGGTTTGTCCTGTATAACTAATGCTGGCTTGAGGATGTATCTGTTAGCTTCTAGCTATATATATATTTAGCACTGTAAGGATTCCCAATGATTGTGTGACATTTGAGTAATGCATGCTGGGTAATGAGATTAACCTGATGGACAAAAATTCTAAAAGGATGTAAAGGTGCAAATTCCGTCAAACCTATGAAGCTGAGGGATGCAAGGCTGCACTACAGTGTACTACGTAACCAGAAAGGACCCCTCAGGGATATCTAGGCCTTCAGAGACGGCCTAATGATTTCTGGGAAATAAAAAATATATGTCTTTAATTTTTATTTCAAGTCAAGTCAAGTCAAATTTATTTGTATAGCGCTTTTTACAACTGATGTTGTCACAAAGCAGCTTCACAGAAATCCATTAAGGACAAAGTTTTAACATGAAATGTAAATCCTCCAGGTGAGCAAGCCAGGGGCGACAGTGGCAAGGAAAAACTCCCTCAGAGCTGGGGAAGAAACCTTGGGAGGAACCAAGGCTCACAAGGGGGGACCCATCCTCCTCTGGTCAAACTACCTACAAAATTATTATACTACTAATATTAATAGTAGTAGTAATAATAGTTAGGAGTCTACTTCAGTGTCGGGTGGGCAGCTAGTCCAAGGCAAGTGGCGGTGACTGGGGCGTGGGCAACTGGTCTGAAGCGGGTAGCAGGAGAGCTTGACAGATGATTGTCCATCAGTGTCCGGCTGGACAGGTGGGCAGTCGTTTAATTTCATTAATTTTGTTTAATTTCAAAAACTCCAGCAGCACTGCTGTGTCTAATCCACTCAGACCAGCGCAACACACACTAACACACCACCACCACGTCAGTGTTACTGCAGTGCTGCGAATGAGAAACAGATGGACTACAGTCTGTAACTGTAGAACTACAAAGTGCACCTATATAGTAGGAGGAGCTGATAAAATGGACAATGAGTGTAGAAACAAGGAGATGCCTGATCGGTGCACAAGTTAACAGTAACAATTATGAAATCCAGTCAGTTGTCTTTCTATGCATTGTGGACTGATCCTGACTGATAGGGCACTGCAGATTATCTATGCGTTAGTCTCACACACACATACACGCGCTCACAGATGGGGCCCTTTATCATCCCCGTGTATATTTGTGTTTAAGGGGATTGATTGGGCTGTTAAGCGAGAGAGAGATAAATTGCAGCGCTGGTGGGCAGGGCCGATGAGTTTGGATGACTGAATTAGATTTTCAAATGTGCTTTTACAAGCGCCAGCCGCACACATTAATTGCTCACCCCAGAGCTGGCCATCGCTGCCATGGCAACTGCTGTTGGCCCTACAACTGAGCACAGTGATGGCCCTGCAGTTCCCACGGTGATGGCCCAGTGGTTCCCACGGTGATGACATTGTCTCATCTGTCTGGTTGTGGTCGCACACGCGTGGATCACTTATTACTACGAGTCTCAGTGCTGCAGACATGCTAGTGTTCAATCACAACAGTAGTGAAATGAAGGGCGGTTTCAGTGCTGCAGGGCTGCATTAATTCACAGCGTGTTTCCTGCTCTGAAATGCCAGAGTTAACTCATCAAGGGGTTGATAACAGGTTGACAAGTGGACTTGCCAAGATATGTTTGGCGTCCCATGTTGGCTTTTAATTTTGCACTAGAAAAATGGACAAAAGAATGGTCAGAATTCAGGCTTCAAGGTGGCTGTTGCTCATGTTTGAGCTGTGCAACATACTTTTGTCCATAAAAAGGGAATTCTAGTGATTTCTGTGAAATAAAAAAAATGCATGCCGGTAATTTTTAGTCTGTTTGTATTTATTATAATCATCATGTTGTATTTAAACTGTGCAAGTATCATACTAATTTCCGTGTTAAGTTTTAGAACTTGGAAGTTATCTAATAAGGCAATAACAGCCAATCAGACAGTGGGAACAACCAGTCATCTTTTGCTGTACAATCTGAGGGACAAATTTAGTGAGAACTGGCCTTCTGGAAAGTCCTGGAAACTTCACTCTTCTCTGAAAGAATCACTGTAAAACTGCTACGAACATTAAGAGTGTTTACATGCACTTATTAATCCGATAACTGCAGAAAAACAGATTTTGTCAGTTGTCCGATCCATGCGTTTACATGCACTTGATAATCTGATAACTATACAAAAACAGATTTTGTCAGTAATCCGATCCATGCGTTTACATGCACTTGAGTAATCAGACAATGGGAAACTCCGGGTCTATCTAAGTCAGGCAGTAGTCGGATTTCTGCTTTGAAACCGGCCAGTAAACCCACAGAACAAGTCGTGGCGTAATTGTAACGTATAACTCAAACTTGATGCCACGTCTTTTTTTTAAAAACATCGCGCCACTTTACCAAAAAAACATGAACATACATCATCTAGAGGATGAAGAATATTCAAACCCTTCATTTCGTCAAGCATGTATTTGGTTTCGCTTCAGAAGTGTTTTGCTGCGTCTCACAGCGACGCTGCTTGCTTATTTCTGGTACTGCAGTCTGTTTTCACACATGCGCAGACTGAGAAATCCAAAAGAAATCAGAGTAAGAGTTTACATGCACTGAGAAATACATACTGTTAGAATCCCATATGGTTGCTAGCAGAAATTAGCATTATTGTAGAGGTGTTTTTCCTTGTTTTTTGACATTTATGGTCTGAGCTGAGTCATGGTTTGCCAGAGATAGATATGGGACTGTCGTACAATGTCAGAAACCACATCTAGATTTGAGAACACAGTTTGAGGCAAGCGATGCTAATTGACCATTTTGATTACCCGTTAGCTACATTAGCTTCAATGCTCCAGTGCAAAACTAAAGATGCAAAATTTATCGAACATGGGCACCAAACATGTCTTGGCTGGTTGACTGTATTTCAGGATGGAGACAGTTTTGTAAATTAGATTTTTAGCTAAACCCTCATCTGTGATACAGTGTACTCCAGTGCTTGCTAACTCCAGTCCTGCCCTGAACATTTTTATGGCTTTGTTAGTCTAAACACATCAGCTAAATGCAAAAATTTACAGAATGTTGGGTTCAGGACCCGCTAGTGTAATGTTTACATGGCATAACCGTATAAATATGACATTCTGTTTTGTCACTTGCAGGCCAGTCAGCTGGGAGTGTACCGGGCCTTCGTGCTGCCCTGAACATTTTTATGGCTTTGTTAGTCTAAACACATCAGCTAAATGCAAAAATTTACAGGAGTGGGATCAGGACCCGCTAGTGTAATGTTTACATGGCATAACCGTATAAATATGATATTCTGTTTTGTCACTTGCAGGCCAGTCAGCTGGGAGTGTACCGGGCCTTCGTGGACAACTATGAACTGGCAGTGGAGACAGCAGAGAAGTGCTGCCAGGCCAACACCCAGTTTGCTGAGATCTCTGAGGTAATGCCTGCGTGGAGTGGCCTGAATGAGACAAATACTGTTTTGGGATGGTCAAGGGGCAACTTTCCCTGGTCAAATTAACCTTAATCTCTTTAGGGGAACAGCTTTGTAATTAATACAGCAGCAGTTTTTTTTTTTCATTTTTCCAATTTTATAAGACTTCAAAACAAGAAAACATAGAGTAATACACTGACCAAGTGTTACACAGATAAAATCTGCTAAATCTTATATTTTAGATTCCTCAGCCTGCCTTTGCCTTGATGCAGCTTTGCACACTCTTGGCATTCTCTCAAACAGCTTCATGAGGAGCCACCTGGGATGCTTTCCCAGCATTCCTGAAGATGTTCCACATGCCTTGTTGGCAGCTGAAAACTACTTGTTGTTCAGGGGAAAATATATATATATATATATATATATATAAACTTTCTATTCTGAATATAAAATCATAGGTGGCAACTTTTCCATTTACATTTTTTTCATCTTTGAAGCGTTTATGCTTAAGCCTTTCGACAAATGAGTTGACATGATAGAAAGGGAAGTAAAGCCATAGAAAAGAAAGGAAAGCCAGATATTCTTCCCTTGCTTATTCAAACAATGCTGCAACCTCCAACCACATTCAGCCAAACAGAGCGTCTCTTCCTGTAAGTGGAGCATCTTTTTCCAAGTCCCTACGCTGAGTTTGGTACACTTTGCCCTGAGTTTGCTCAGAAATGGACCAGTGAGACACCTGAAGAGCAGAAAAAGGACCTTTTCACTCTTGATAGGCTCAGTGTGAGATTCCATAGCCACCTGAACATTAGAAGGAGAGAGGGATAAAAAACATTATCAGGTGCTGCTCAGCCTCAGTTCAACCCAATCCAATCCCTGACTGAGCGTTGTCATGCCAACTGATACTTCATTTACTACAGTGAGCGTGCCCCCCCCACTACCACCCCCCACCCCCCGGTCCCCTGACACTAACAGAAATGAATGTTAGGATAATTGTGTATTTAATGGGACAGCAGAGTAGAGAAGGCTTTAGGGGCTGCGGAGTGCTGAGTGGGTTGTAAAACCTCGAGACTGTGCAGAAATGCATTATTTTTTACCTGAATGTCCTTGTATGAAAACATAGTACCTCAATGTAACATTAATACCTTCAGTTGGTCTAAAACTCTATTGGAGCTGGTTTAATTTTACCTGGTGAGGAGTAATTTACAGTAATTTGAGCAGTTACCCAAGAGATCTGCAATCTAAGTCCAGTATGAATCTGTGGTTTTTGTAGTTTTTACAGTTTGACAGTAATAATCGTGGTTCATTTAGTCCAGTTTGAATCTACAGTGTCTGTTGTTTTACAGCCTGACAGTAACAACTGGGGAGTGATTTTAATCCAGAATGAATCTGCAGCATGTAGTTTTAACAGTGATAATTGTGGAGTGAATTTAGTCCTGTATGAATCTACATTGTCGTTAGTTTTCTGTGTGTAGTTTTTACAGTCTGACGGTAATAATTGTGGAGTGATTTTAATCCAGTATGAATCTGCAGTGTGTGTAGTTTTACAGTGTAATGGTAATAATTGTGGAGTGATTTTAATCCAGTATGAATCTGCAGTGTGTGTAGTTTTACAGTCTGACAGTAATAATTGTGGAGTGATTTTAATCCAGTATAAAACTGCAGTGTGTGTAGTTTTACAGTCTGACAGTAATAATTGTGGAGTGATTTTAATCCAGTATGAATCTGCAGTGTGTGTAGTTTTACAGTCTGACGGTAATAATTGTGGTGTGATGATTTTAATCCAGTGTGAATCTGCAGTGTGTGTAGTTTTACAGTCTGACGGTAATAATTGTGGAGCGATTTTAATCCAGTATGAATCTGCAGTGTGTGTAGTTTTACAGTCTGACGGTAATAATTGTGGAGCGATTTTAATCCAGTATGATGTCTGCAGTGCTTTTACAGTCTAACAGTTGTAATAGACATGGTTTGTGGTGTGTTGTTGTTATTGAGTATGGCACTTACGGTGTAATGCTGACGTGAACATCCAAGCTATGACCTTTCAGTCTGGGCTGTCTGTGTAACTTCGGAGACACTGTGTCTTGTATCAGTTGGCCGGTCAAACCAATAAATTACTCAACCTCTTCTGGTCAAACTAATCCAGCTTAAACAGTGCTTAAGAATGTCGTGAGGGTTGCTCTAAAATAAATAAAATAAAAATTGAAGCAAATGTGATATAAATCAGTGGTTAAAATAAAATTCTTATTACATTGGTCAGTGCCTAAAAAAGCACTGCTAGCAATTTACAGTTCATTATTCATGTTGAAAATGGTTGATTTGACCTTGACTTTATTAAGGTATTGTTTATTGTTCTTTGTCCTGCTAGCACTGCAAACAATCTAAGCTAATGACGATTCTGTGCAATGAGCCTTAGGCTTTGGTTATTCATGGATGTAATGGTCTATGTAATGATGTCTTTGACTGGTAAACCACGCGCAAGGGGTCAGCAGTGGATCCTTTTGCATTGTGACTTTGACCTGCATTCTGTACCAGCTCAGGTCTGCACAGCACGAGGAGACTCAGATATCAGATAAATGTACCTTTCATAAGAAGCTCAAATCCTTAAGTAAAATACTATTGTGATATCATTATGGATTAGCAGTGGGGATGACATGCTTGCGTAGCTTCATTCATCTTGTGTTTGTTTTGTCTCTTTAGAACCTGAAAGTCCGAAATACCAAGGAGTGCAAAGACCAGACAGCCAAGTACTCGCTGGAAAGTAAGAGCTATTATATCTTATTTTGAAAGTATATATAGACTTACAGGCCTAAAACTGTGGGTTGCTTTGACCTTAATACAGCTCCCTAAGAGACAAGAGAATTTAGCCAAAAAAAACTGTTTGTAGCTTTAAGCCAAGTTGTAACAGTCTGCAGTAAGAAGAGCTGACCTGCTGAGTAATCAATGTCTTGCTGTCTGTTCTGTCCTCTTTCAGCTCTCCTTTATAAGCCTGTGGACAGAGTGACCAGAAGCACACTAGTTTTACATGTAAGTGTCTTTCATATACACTGCATGGACAATAGTATTGGGACACCCCTCCTAATTATTGAGTTCAGGTGTTTCAGCCACACTCATTGCTAACAGGTGGATAAAATTGAGCACATAGCCTTGCAGTCTCGATAGACAAACACTGGCAGTAGAATGGGTTGTGCTGATGAGCTCAGTGACCTTAAACATGGCACTGTAATAGGATGCCACCTCTGCCACAAGTCAGTCTGTGAAATTTCTGTCCTGCTAGATCTGCCCCTGTCAACTGAAAGTGCTATGATTGTGAAATGGAAGCACCTTGGAGCAACAACAGCTCAGCCATTAAGCGGTAGACTACGCAAACTCACAGAGTGGACCGCCGAGTGCTGAAGTGCACTGTTCCTATCCTCTGTTGAATCACTCACTAAAGAGTTCCGAATTGCCTCTGGAAGCAGCATCAGCAAAAGAATTGCTTATTAGGAGCTTCACAAAATGGGTTTCCATGGTCGAACAGCTGCACACAAGCCTAAGATCAAAAGTGTCGGTGGGAGCAGTGGTGTACAGCACACCGCCTCTGGACTCTGGAGCAGTGGAAACGTATTCTGTGGAGTGACAAAGTGACAAATCACGCTTCTCTATCTGTCAGTCTGATGGACGAGTCTGGGGTTGGTGAATGCCAGGAGAACGTTACTTGCCTGACAGTACTGTGCCAGCTGTAAAGTTTGGTAGAGGAGGGATGATGATATGGGGCTGTTTTACAGGGGTTGGCCTAGAACCCTTAGATCCAGTGAAGGGAAATCTTAATACTTCAGCAGAACAAGACATTTTGGACAGTTGCACACTTCTAACTTTGTGGGAACAGTTTGGGGAAGAACCTTTTCTGTTCCAACATGACTGAGCCCCAGTGCACAAAGCAGCTCCATAAAGGCCTGGCTGGGTGAGTTTGGTGTGGAATAACTTGACTGGCCCTCACAGAGTCCTGACCTCAACCCCGTCGAACACCTTTGGGATGAACTAGAACGGAGATTGCGAGCCAGGCCCTCTCGTCCAACACCAGTGTCTGACCTCACAAATGCTCTTCTGGATAAATGGGCAAAAATTCTCACAGACACTCTCCCACATCTTGTAGAAGCTTCCCAGAAGAGTGGAAGCTGTTAGAGCTGCAAAGGGGGACCAACTCCATATTAATGCCTATGCATTTAGAATGTGATGTCATGAAAGCTTGTGTAGGTGTCCCAATACGGTGTATCTTATTTACACTAACGTTCAAAAGTTTATGTTTTCATAATCGAAAATAACTTACAAACTTTTGAACTTGGTGTTTATACTACACATATATTTTTCCCCAAGTTCATAAGACCAATTTAAAAGAAGATATTTGTGTATATATTTGTGTTACAGGACCTACTGAAGCACACCCCCTCCAGTCACCCGGACCACCCCCTTCTCCAGGATGCTCTACGTATCTCTCAGAACTTCCTGTCTAGCATCAATGAGGAGAGCACGCCGCGGCGCCAGTCCATGACAGTGAAAAAGGGCGAGGTGAGTGTAGTGCAGTAGTGGAAATCTTCTTCTCTTCATTGTCTCCTTTTCCAGTCTGCAGTCTCTCCTGAGGTGAGATGTGCATTGCAGAGGAGCTTTTTTGTTTGTATTTCAGTGTCAGTCTCATGCGCTCTGCCCACAGTAGCACACAGACTGTCTGATGTAAACTGCATGCTAAAATCACCACAACCCTCAGAAACTCACTCCTCACAGAGAATTTAAACTGACTCAGGTCTGCATCCATGTGGGAAACAAACAGTTCTTTACCAGAATAAATGCAAGTGGCAAGCAGTTGCATCTCCGCTTGCCAGTAAGCCTTTCAGAGTAGTACAAAGGCCTAGTTGCTGAACTAGGTAACATTTATGATATCCCATTTTAAAAAATGTAATTCCTGAATAATAATAATAATAATAATAATAATAATAATAATAATAATGTTTTATACATACATATATATATATATATATATATATATATATATATATATATATATAAAACACCTTTCATACATTAAAAATGCAGCTCAAAGGGCTTCACAGTACAAAGTAAAAACAACAGAGGAAGAAAAGATAATCAAGAATAAAAACAAAATATAGCAGAAAATGTATATATTAATAAATGCAATTAAAAAGCACAGGATAAAAGCGTAAATAAAAAGAAAAAAGACAAAAAAATGCAACTAACAAGAACATAAAAGTAGTAGTAATATTCCAGTAAAAACAAAGGAAACAAAAAATAAATAGTTCAATGCTAAAGTAAAGAAATAAGTTTTAAACTGTTTTTTAAAAACATTTACAGAAGGACAGATGTTTATTAATAATACTGACTGAGTAAACAAGATATCATCATACATTTGGCAAACTACTCAAAGTTGTTTTTTTTATTGCACGTCATCCTAAGTGTTCTTTGACTGGATGGTTTGCATGTCAGTCAAATATCCCTTCCTATAGCGGTTCTCGAAAACTAGCCGGTCTGACTTACAAGCCTGTATTTCAGCACAGTCTCAGGCAGCTTCATTTTGTGTAGTATTTCCACACTAATAAAGTGCTTTGGGATTTATGTTCAGCAGAAAAAAAATGATTTCTGTTCTGTCCTTCTGCCTCCTCACTTCAAATTTTACTACTGTTAGATTTCAGGCACTGTCTTCAACTAGACATCTGCTGCCCACAATACTGACTAGTGGATTTATTGGTCTACTAGTCTATGCAACCCCTAATTACACAGGGTATTAAGAAAGTTTTTGTCCTTGTCCTGTAAAGTTACTGTTTCAGAGAAAGCAAGTTTTACATCATGTAATCAGCATCTAGCTAGCCAGCCTTCATTATTAACTGCGTTAATGCATTTCTGAGGGCAGTCTTCCTTTAAAGGGGTTTCATTGCATGACCACAGTGCAGTAGCCCTGAGGCAGTGCAGGCCGTGAGCTCCCATTGGGATATCACTTGAGCCAAAGCAGCAGACCCTGCTTTTCTCAGCTCTGCTCCTCTCCGTGGCCTGCATGTGTCAGGTGCTTTGAACTTCAGCACAGCTACTCACTGCTGCATTACTGCGGCCCACTATGAAACGACCCAAAGCCCTGTATCAGTCCCCAGCCAGGTGGTTGGGAACCTCTGCTTTAGGCCTTTTAGATGCAAAGCAACATATGAACCTGGTTTTAACTTACTAATTTAAACACGCTCATTCACTCATTCTTACTCAGCAGGCTTAGGATTCTCCACAAGAGGGCGATCAAGACGCTTTTGTTGCTTTGTGAAAGTGGTGCGTCGCCTCAGTGACACCATGTGTCCTTGTTTTCTGGTTTTCCTACAAAGCCAGGACATGTTTGTCCTGATAATGTACAAAAACAAACACATATAGACATTACACATGCACACACACATACACACACATGTCTATCTTAATTCCATCCACGTAGACCGCCCCCTCCGCCCCCCCCCAGTTCCTGCAGTCAGGCCTGCTGTGAGTGTCATATGAATTGCTGCTGTATGATTGACGGCGAGTGAGGGTTTGCAAGTAATGTGCCTTAACGAGCCGCCTCCTCGTGTTTATTATTCATAAGACGGCCATCTCGTGAGGAGGTGGCTCCTCCCTCATACGCACACACACAATCTCAGACCCCTGTGGGGTCTCTGGTGGACAGACCAAACTGATCATCAAATATTGATGTTGTGTACATGAAAGGAGCTGATGGAAATCATGGGGTTGTTGTGGACCTCATTATCGTCTTTATTGTCTTGTTTAAGATTCCTGGGAAAAGTGCTTCTAGCAGATTTCTCCTGTGTGCTTTTTACAAGACAAGAGTTACAAGGGCTTTGGTGAAGAGAGACAGTTCCTCTAGTGCTCTGTGGCTCTAGTGCCGTAGTGTCCGTCCTGTATGGCTTTGCAGGTATTCAGAGGAAAAAGTGCAGAGCCAGTACAGAGAACAAACAGCAAGGTAAGCAGGTATCGTGTGCTGTATGAACTGAGCTGTGTGCTGTAACTACAGTCGTGTGCAACTTTGAATACCCCTAGTCAAATTACACATTTTGTTATATAAAAAAAAAGAATTAAAAAATTAAGTTAATACGTCCTCTAAAGGGAAGAATTCTAAATATGATATTTTTCTGCGAATCTTAGTGCACACTTTCTACTTATTCGCTGAGTTTAACATATTGGGGGAAAAACATAACATAAAAAATGTGACATAACTTTTGCACAGGCCACATTTTATATGTTTTTTTTTATTCATGTTAAATTTAGCAAATGCACAGTCATAGTGCTTTTAAATGTGCAGAAGTGTTGCATGTATATATATATATATATATATGTATGTATGTATATATATATATATATATATATATATATATATATGGTAGTGGCCTCCAGGTAATTTATGTCTGAGACAACTATCATATATCTAAGAAGGTGCTAGTCCTTTAAGAAAGAAATAAAATAATAATAATAAGAAGAAGTAAGAAGAAGAAGAATAGTAAAAATTTTAAAATGCTTTTTAGATACAGTTGCATTTAAGCGCTTGAACACCTCCATTCAAATTCTATGTATTGTTGATTTTGTAAATAAAGTGTAAATAAGTGAACACATCCACTACAGAAAACACACTTTTGCACATTTTAATGCAGAAGTACTGTTTATTTACGGAGTTTAACAGCTTAGAAAAAATCTTAAACTATGAAATATGCTGTCATCTTTTGCAGAGGCTACATTTTATGTTTAATTTATTTTCCCAATGTATTAAATTCAGCAAATAAACAGTAATTGTGCATTAAAATATGCAGAAGTGTGTCTCTGTAGAGGATGTGTTCACCTATTTTCACTTAAAAAAATCACAAAACATTACAATCATGTAATTTGACCAGGGGTGCCCAAACCTTTGCATATGCCTGTAGATAAATAGGTGGATGGATGGATGGATGGATGGATGGACAAATAATTAGACATCAGTTACAAATGTGAAACAGTGAAGAAGACAACAAAAAGAAAATTAGTCTTGAAGCAGGAAGGCAGTGAAGTGCTGCCAGTACTGGAGTAATGTGTTCATTCTTCCGCGTTTGAGTGTGAACTCTTACTGCTGCATTCTGTACCAGCTGATGTGCGGAGCAGGGATTGGGCCGGACCCCCGGAGACCCATACTGGGCAGATGGGAGGAGGGGCCGGACAGAAGCTACTTAATTAAAATGCAAATGGCGCTGCGTGTTTCTGAAGCAGCTCCAGCTTCTCTTAGCCTCTGGGACACGGGTGAACGCTGCGCAGTGCGGGGGCACTTACGCCCAGCATCACACTGAATACTACTACATACATACACACCAGCCTTCACATGCACTTATACACTCCAACTGCACAGTGTGTGGGCAGTCGCACGCACAGACACATCACAAATCCTACACGCACACGCATTAATATGCTTGTACACTCACTGCCCACGTATACACACCCCCGCAAAGCTTCGTTTTGGCCGTGCAAACAAAATAAAAAGCTCTTGAGAAAAGCGTTAAATCCATTTTACGCCCAAGCTCAGTGTCAGAATGTGTACATGTCCACATAGATTTTGCACACCATGAAATCGTACATAAACGGGGCCCGTATGTGAACAGATTTCAAGAATTCATTCCAAAGCGCAGAGATAAGCACGATGTACACCGATCAGCCATTACATTATGACACATTACATCCTTGTTTCTACGCTCATTGTCCATTTTATCAGCTCCACTTACTATATAGGTGCACTTTGTAGCTCTACAGTTACAGACTGTAGTCCATCTGTTTCTCTGCATACTTTGTTAGCCTCCTTTTACCCTGTTCTTCAGTGGTCAGGACCCCCATGGACCCTCACAGAGCAGGTACTATTTGAATGGTGGATCATTCTCAGCACTGCAGTAACACTGATGTGGTGGTGGTGTGTTAGTGTGTGTTGCGCTGGTCTGAGTGGATCAGACACAGCAGTGTTGCTGGAGTTTGTAAACACCTCAGTGTCACTGCTGGACTGAGAATAGTCCACCAACCAAAATATCCAGCCAACAGTGTCCTGTGGGCAGCGTCCTGTGACCACTGATGAAGGACTAGAGGATGACCAACAGAGCTACTGTCTCTGACTCTGACTAGAGGATGACCAACAGAGCTACTGTCTCTGACTAGAGGATGACCAACAGAGCTACTGTCTCTGACTTCACGTCTGCTGCGGTTTAGCCCCGCACATTCACACTGAAGTTATAAGGAGTGTTTCAGCCTGAACTGCTTTTTGAGTGAGGCATAATACAGGGCAGCCAATCAGTACAGAGCTCATTTACATATATCAGTCTTAAAGGCACAGTAACAAACACCACCTGTTTAAAGGATAAAGAGAGGTTGGAAAATGGTCATGAAACAATGAATTATGATTGTTTTTGGCATAGAAAAGCATAAAGTAGACCTATTAAGTGGAAAAAATAAAATACAAGTTTAGAATTTGGCCAAAGACAAAAAAGCATGAAAATAGAAGCAGAATTATGATGAAATACAAGTGGGTC